GTGCGTAACCGCGCGCGCGAGCGCGCACCCGGCAAAAGGGTTCTCTCTCGCACGCTATGATTGGTAGTTTGCGGGGTGATCCGCCACGGTTCGGCCCGCGAGACCAGCGATTTACGTGCTCCTAACACTTTATCGGGTCCGTTAATCCTGCCGATCGATCGAGAGAGCGGCGATCGATCGATCGATCGCGGCGGGGATGCGCCGCGCGGACCGCGAATAACCGGTGATTTCCTTAATTCCCGGCCAGCCTTTCTTTCTCCCCCCCTCTCCTTTCTCCCTCGAGAGAGCGAGAGAGCTCTCTCTCTCTCTCCAGCACGTTCTTTCTTTCCTCTTTCCTCGCGTTCACCTTCGTCTTCCGATGCGTGTTGTCCATCTGCTTGTTTATTCCGGGTCCCGGGCACTGCTTAATTTCTGTTTGATTGCAGCATCTGCCGCCGCGATCGTCTTCGGGAACAGGGGAACCGTGCGATCCCGAATCGTTCAGGGGTTGCCACCGGCCCGAAGTCGCGAGCGAGCGACTCGGCTACGCTTTCGTAGATCTCGCCGGGACGGCTGGGTGCTATTGCGCGCGCGGGCGCCCTAGCTTCTTCGCGGATTTATGAAATGGCGAGTTGCGAGTCAAAACTCGCTGCGAGTGTCGGAGCTTTTGTAAATAGCTGTCTCTTGTCACCGGTTCGTTTGCGACTCCGGTGCTCTGTCGTAGATCTCTCCGAGAGGACTGGGTGCTATTGCGCGCGCGAGCGCCCTAGCTTCTTCGCGGATATATGAAATGGCGGATTGCGAGTTAAAAATCGCTGCGAGTGTCGGAGCAGGTATTTCGTAGATAGCTGTCTCTTGCCACCGTCCCGAAATCGCTCACGACTTCGGTGCTCTTTCGTAGATCTCTACGAGACGGCTGGGTGATCGGCCCTTGCGCGCGCGAGCACCCAAGCTTCTTCGCGGATCTATAAAACGGCGAATTGCGAGTCAAAACTCACCGCAAGTGTCGGAGCTTTCGTAAATAGCTGTCTCTTACCACCGGTTCGCTCGCGACTCCGGTGCTCTTTTATAGATCTCTCCGAGAGGGCTGGGTGCTATTGCGCGCGCGAGCGCCCAAGCGTCTTCGCGGATCTATAAAACGGCGGATTGCGAGTCGAAACTCGCCGCGAGTGTCGAAGCAGGTATTTTGTAAATATCCGCCTCTCTAATAGAACGTCGGATTTTATGAGTCGAAGGGGGCTCCCTTTCGCGGTGAATCGACGGCTCGATTGGCTCGAATGGCGCGTCGATCCCTCGGGGAGACACCCAGCGCGAGCGCGATCGAGCCGGTCGAGTGCGCGAAGCGGGTAAAAGGAGGAAAAGGATGGAAAAGGTGGAACTGTGCGGTAGAAGCGGGGGCCGGAAGTGGTTCCATCTGGCTCCCCCGTTGGTCTGACCTGTTGAACCACCTCGTGACCGGAAGTATGCCATACACCTACGGGCACCATGCTCGTCCCTCGTCCCTGCGGTGCACGCCACGAAAACAACAAAGGCTTCTTTCTGCCCCGTGACACCTTATCATGCCCCTTGTCGGCCTGTTTACTTGATTACACGGCCATGATTTCACCCCCTCCCCCCTCCTCCTCTTCCTCGGACCGCGCTGCTCCTTTGTCGAGATAGCATCCTTGAAATTCTCGTCGGTCCTTTAGGAGTCTTGCGAATTTGTCTGCGGCATCGAGTAAATATGTGGTTAAATGTTGCGGTTATTATTGTTAAATTTGATATCGATCGGTTGGATGTGGTTGACGCTAATTTTTTAACAATTTTGAAAGTTCATTTCTGTTGTAATATATTCGAAAGGACTGAGTTTTGCTAGGATGTTTCGTATAGGAAAGAGTTCTAATGTCAGCTGTGATATTGCATTATGATAAATTTTAACTTTCTAGGTTCTGTTTAATTAATTCAATTGCACTGACCTTGCGGGAATTTTAATGATTGATTATCGACGCTGAACGTGTTGGGATCAAACAGTAACAGCTTCACCGTTGCCAGTGTCCCTTCGATTGTAAGATTGAAAACAGTTTACAGCTGGAGGCTGTAGTTTTATGTCATCAATGTACAGGGTGTCCCAAAATTACGGTACTTCCGAGAAGCGAGGGATTCCTGAGGTGATTCGAAGTTACTTTTTCCTCGGCGAAAATGCAATCCGCGGCTTCGTTTACGAGTTATTAGAGAAAAACGGTGACCAACGAGAGGCGCGAGGCGGCCGAGCCAATCAGTGGAACTGGACCGCCTCGCGCCAGCCGCGCTCGCCTCTCATTGGTCGCTGTTTTTCGTTGATAACTCGTAAACGAAGCCTCGGGGAACAATTTCGTAAAGGAAAAAGTTACTCGAAATGCCCTCAGCAACCCCTAATTTCCCGGAGGTACCATAATTTTGGGACATCCTGTATTACAATTACAATTGTAATACAATTAATATTATTAATATTATTAATATTAATGTAATACAATTTAATATAAAATAGAAACCGGTTTACGGTTTGAAAATTAAAAACTCTAGTTTCCAGTTCAAAGAATTACAAACTAAAAACTTCCCCTAAGCAATTAGCGTCTTTATAACGATCAGAGCCGAAACAGTTCGCCCGCCGAAATCTCGCTAGGTCTCCCGTAAATCGAGAAACCGTAAACCTCGAACGCGCCGTGAAAGAAACCAGGCAACGCGGAAGCGACGCGTGTCAGAGGCCAGAGTACCCGAAAAGACTGGTTCGATCCAAGATGGCCGACCGACACGCTCGGGAGAAACGAATTTACGAGCGCCGTCGCTTTCGACACTTTGCGGGACAGGCTCCGTGTTCACGGGCAAAATAAAGGGTAGGGAAGAATGCGATTCGCGCCGGGGAACAATGGGGGGATGTCGATGCGTGCCCGAGACAGGTCCGGGGCATTATGTTGCCCGCGCACAATGGCTCGCGAGGAGCAGCATGCGCGCTGCGCGCGGTAATCTGTCGCCCTGTGCGAGTACTTATGCGTTTTTGTCGCGGAGGGGTCAGCAACGAGGGGTGCGTGGGGTGCCTCGCACCCATCGTGTTTTCGCAACGAGTGACGTCAGTGGGTTACGGGCTCGGTGAAAGAGTCGGAAGGGCGGCGAGAGGGGGTCGTCTAGCCGGAGGGGGTCTCGGAGCTCGCGGACGGATCGCTTTTCACCGATCACGAATATTCGGGATGCGCTTCAGTATGAATTTCTTTTTGACTTATCATTGGCGTCGCCGTTCCTTCGTCGATCCATTCGATCGGAGTGAACGCCTTTTTCTCGGAATTATTGGGTTGGCAACTAAGTAATTGCCGATTTCAGTTGTAGATGTCTCTCACTCCCATTTTTATGATATCCGTAAATGTTATATTATAAAATTATTATTATTATTATTATTATTATTATTATTATTATGTTATTTTTTAGGAACTATTACAAAGGACGAATGAAAAATGTACATAGCGTAGAGAACATATTGATTATCAATAAAAGAAATACTGTAAACGCCGTTGCAATATTATGTCAGTAACTTAATATTATTATATTTTGTAACACTCCATGTTTTCTTTCAAATAAAACCGTGGCACCCAGGGCAAGATGCGCTAAATTTGCGCGGCAGTTAATGGGTTAACCCGTTCGAGTCCCAAGCAGCGCGACCGCGCTGTTCAGATCTTGCGTCGCGATGAAGCTTTAATGACACACACACATCGCATAGCTGCTTTTTCTCATTTTATTTCTTTTCGTTTCGTTTGTCAATCTTGACGAGCGCCATCGCGCCGCTTGGTTCTCTTCGCGAGCAATTAAGACGAGCGCTATCACGCTGTTCGCCACTTTTCGACCGTGTTTTCTGAATGACCTCTGGGACTCGAACGGTTAATTAACCTTAAAAATAGTCACCTGGACAGTTGACAATCATCGCGGACGAAAATAGGTTAGAATGCTAAGCGAGCGAACGTAGGGCGCCGCGCGTCTCGCAACAACCCCCGAAACGACACCCCGTTCAGAATGTAAAGGTTGCGAGCGTGTAGCGCCCGAAAGGTCAATCCGGGGCCGACTCGCGAGGAAGACTCGCGACAAATAGAAAAGGGTTGAAAAGGTCTCCACTGTTGCAGTCTTTCTCGACGACGCGACCAAAATCATCCCCGATCGCGCCGCGGAACGCTGCGATTTCCAGATCTCGCGGAACAATTTCCAGGATAATCAGGGTACACCGACCAACCCCTTCGCTGTAATCAAATTATCGGATCGGATTCGGGGCACGGGCGGGGCCCGGCCGAATCGTGTTCCGGTGTAACCCGTTCGGGCGACGCCTCGCCTCGCCTCGCCTCGGCTCGGCGAGCGGCTCGCGCGGAGTGTATCGCGGCGCGTAAGAAGAGCGTAATGCGCTTAAAAAGAAGGGTATGACGTCACGAGGAGGTGGCACGCCGCGGCGCGTGCCGTCGGATGGGGTACGCGAGTTTATCGTGGCCCCGTGGAACAGAGACAAGAGACGCGAGCAGGGCAACCGGTGCAGCCGGGGGTTGGGGGGAGGGAGGGAGGGTGGCAGGGAGGAAGGAAGGAAGCAGAAAAGCTGTGGCCAAGGAGACAGAGGCAGAGAGAGAGCGAGAGAGAGAGAGAGAGAGAGAAAGAGAGAGGTCCGAGAGAGCGAGCGAGAGAGAGAGAAAGGAAGAAGACAGGCGCCCCGAGGAGTCTACGACAGGCTCGCATGCAGGCAAGAAGTCCGCACGAGTGGCTGGGGTGTCGTACAGGGGCCTAGGTGGTGGGGGTGGGCGCGTGCAGCCGGCCTGCAGCTGCCTCGTTCGCCGGCCCCGGCCCCTCGAGCCCCGCGCCCTTAAACAAGAGTTCCCCGTACCCCTCCAAGAGCCGGTCACGTCGCGAGCCACCGGCGCAGCCGCTACCCACCACCCCTCTAGTTCCCCGCAACCCCTCTCTCAGGGGACCCGGCGGGACCACAATTATAAGTAGGGGTGCTCCCGGCTTACTACTTCCAGTCGAGGGTTGCACGCCGTTGTGTAGACGCGAGGGACACGTACGGGTCCTTTCCAAACGCTACCAGCGCACGCGTGTGTAACCGCCAATCGTAACAGTTTCAGAGTTTTCGTATTCTTCGGGTACGCAGAGACACGCGGGACTTACCGAAGAGAGAGAGAGTTCTTTCGCCGGAGAGTTCTTCGCCACTCCGTTCTCTTCCGCACGATCCGCTTTGGGAACCGCGGTTTATCGTGACGCGATAAAACGATAGAAGATAGAAAGAAATCGGAGACCAAGCAACGACGACGACGGACACACACGTATTCGTACGGTTGATCCGGCGGCGCGCGGTTCGCAGGATAACAGAAACCGGGACACAAGGCAACGTAACGCCGGTCGTCGAACCAACCGAGATCGGAGGACTCGCCATCTGTCGATCGCGCACGCCGCAGTGTCTCGTGACCGATCGACGTCGCGCAGTGCTTGCCGGAATAACCGCGGTGTGGCGCTAGTGTCTCGGCCGTTTTAGTGGCGCGCGCGCGGAAACCCCGTGGATCCCCGGATCATCGTAGCCGAGCGACGAAGAGGACGAAAGAGAGAGAGGAGCCGAAAGAGGATAGGAAAAGTGCGCATTCGAGGGAGGAACGATTTAGCCTGCCGAAGATCGCGTACACGCTACGAGGCACTTTCACAAGGAAAACGACCGGGAGTCCGGTGTACGCGGGCCAAGGGGCGCATCTCTGGATCCCAGTAGTAGTCGAGCCGCGGAGCGGTGCCATTCGTGCCGGTTCTCTTCTTCGCGTGTTACTTACTCCTCTCGTCTCGTTTTCTCCCCCCTCCCGAACCACCAGCACCCCCACCCCGGCCCTTAGAAAAACTTCCCCTCGCTCGAAACGAAGCACATTGACTCTCCCTCTCTCCCCCCCGCTCCTCCACGTTTGACTCTTGCTCGCACACACGACGAAAGGGTACCCTCGCTCCACCTCCGCCGGTGCTGTTACCACCACCGTAGACGCGCGTCGTCGTCGCCGAGGTTCCCCCACCATCGTCGGACGGCCGCTACCGCCGCCGATATACTCCCCTCCGTTCGCCCCCACCACTTTCTCCTCCAGCGGCGCTGTGCCACCACCGCCGCCACCACCACCACCACCACCACTCTTCCGGGCCGACACTCTTGCCGAGGGAATTATTCCTCACGGTTCGTCGACGGCCAGTCAGTGCGCGACTCGTCGTTGTTGCGACGGTTGGCGAGGCGAGAGTGGTGTCGTACCGTGTGCCTTTTTTTTTCTCTCTCTCTCACATTGGCCCTCAAAGCCGGCGAAGGATAATTATGCTCGTGGCGGATCGTCGCGACTCTCGTCGACGTAGTGGCTCGTGCGACGCGAAACAACGCTCCACGCGGGCGTAGTTACGAGATACACGTATACTTCTGATCGAGGGGACCGCGGATTAAACGGCGACCAAACATCGTTGCGACGACAACAAGAGAGGATCCGATACAACAATATATATACATACATACATATATTACACGGGGAGAGCGTGTGTCCGATTGTATCTAGGCGGCCACAGAGAGTTGTACGCGTGCAGCGAGAAAAAAAAGGGGAAAAAACCAAGCGACTCGCCGAAAGGATCGCGCGCGCGCTCGGCACCCGGTGTGTTTCACCTAATTATCCTACGCACGACTGCATTACCATCCGATATACCCTGGACGAAGCTGTTCGACGACTCTCGGCGTCCCACGGATAAATGGAATAAAGTGTGTCACAGGCAGTGTTCAGTGATCTCGCGCGTGATATATATATTTATATATATATATATAAATATTATATTTGCATTATTCGTATCACCTGCTCGGGCGGCGTACGTGAAAAATTTTACGGTTAACGTACCTAGAGTGTATATTATTATTATTATTATTACCATCATTATTATTATTATTATTGCAGTGCGACCATATAGGACAGAGAAGTGACGCGAGTTCATCTCGTTGTTTATTTTTTTTTCTTATTCTTCCTCGTCTGCTTCGTCGTCGTCGTTGTCGTCGTAATTCGCGTTTTTCGTTCGGTATTCCGATCCCGATTCTATCGCGCGACGAGAATCGCCGGGCAACGACAAGTTCTACGACACTTTGCACGCATCGGAGAGGATTAACAACCGCCGACTGGGGCACACACCACGTTGCGCGTCGGCTCGTCGTCGGCTGAGAGAGAGCAAGATATTCAGTAGAGAGAGGTTGCGACGCGAGGACGCGGCGACGGTGCGTGTTACACCTTGTGTTAAACACCTCGTAAACGGCGGTTCACGGTGGGCTATGCAGCCTCGCGAAACCCAAGCGAGGAGGTAACGCCGACGAGCACACACACCTGGGCACCACGGTCCACACGCATCCGCCGTCGACGAAGCACCGGCGGCGTGTAAACATCCGACACCCAACAACCACCAAACATGTGGACCACGATGCTCGTGTGGACGGTCGCCGTCGTGCTATTGCCGACACCCCGAACGGTAAGCATATTATTCTTTTTCTTCGACTCGACGCTGTTCTCGTTTCGCTTCCCTCCTCCTCCTCCTCCTCCCTCTGCTCCTGTTGCCCCGCGAGCCGAAAACGAACGCGTTCCAAAACGAAATCTGTTTCTCCCTCGCGCAGCAACACCGCCGCCGGTTCGACTTTTATCGGTTCGACGAGTCCTCGAACGTTCAATTTCGAACGGCCGAGTCATCATATTTCACTCTCGTGTATTTTTGGCCGCGAACCGCCGTGTTTCGCGTTCGCCCGGAATCGTCATCTTTCGCGCCGCCGCGAAATATATGTTCTCACGGCGGCTGGACCAAGGACGGATTTCTCGACGGACGCGAACCAGCGGCGCCTACAATTTTCCAATTACCGCCGCGCCGCGGCACCCCTGGGCAGAGCAGAGAGCGCGTTTGCCTGTTTTCTCCTTCGGTCGCCGGACTCTCGCGACGCGGCGCGTCGGGAGGGACGGTCCGTTGACGAACGAACGAACGAACCGTTGATACGTCGCGAGGACGCGTGGCGCGCTCGCTTCGTTCATCGACGCGCACCGAAAGGATTATGTATCTTGTGAACGGGCATCGAAACGGATCTCGCGTTACGTTGTGTCGTATCGTCGTCGTCGTCGTGAAATCTCGACAGGGATACGTTTGTCAACTCCGGCGGGCCTGGTGCGGCCCGACCTTCGCCGGCTGCCGATGAATGGCGCGATGTTTTGGTTCGGATTCCAAGAGGTTCCCGTCTGTCAAACCGGTCGCCTCTCGCCGTAAGCTCTGTTGGTATTTACGGATAAAAACGACGACGCGTCGATCGGCTCTCTCGTTCAGAATAGAATCCCTCGGTCTACATATTTATCGGCGGCCTNTGTTTCTCCCTCGCGCAGCAACACCGCCGCCGGTTCGACTTTTATCGGTTCGACGAGTCCTCGAACGTTCAATTTCGAACGGCCGAGTCATCATATTTCACTCTCGTGTATTTTTGGCCGCGAACCGCCGTGTTTCGCGTTCGCCCGGAATCGTCATCTTTCGCGCCGCCGCGAAATATATGTTCTCACGGCGGCTGGACCAAGGACGGATTTCTCGACGGACGCGAACCAGCGGCGCCTACAATTTTCCAATTACCGCCGCGCCGCGGCACCCCTGGGCAGAGCAGAGAGCGCGTTTGCCTGTTTTCTCCTTCGGTCGCCGGACTCTCGCGACGCGGCGCGTCGGGAGGGACGGTCCGTTGACGAACGAACGAACGAACCGTTGATACGTCGCGAGGACGCGTGGCGCGCTCGCTTCGTTCATCGACGCGCACCGAAAGGATTATGTATCTTGTGAACGGGCATCGAAACGGATCTCGCGTTACGTTGTGTCGTATCGTCGTCGTCGTCGTGAAATCTCGACAGGGATACGTTTGTCAACTCCGGCGGGCCTGGTGCGGCCCGACCTTCGCCGGCTGCCGATGAATGGCGCGATGTTTTGGTTCGGATTCCAAGAGGTTCCCGTCTGTCAAACCGGTCGCCTCTCGCCGTAAGCTCTGTTGGTATTTACGGATAAAAACGACGACGCGTCGATCGGCTCTCTCGTTCAGAATAGAATCCCTCGGTCTACATATTTATCGGCGGCCTCTCTCTCTCTCTCTCTCTTTCTCTCGGGTATTTCTCGCGTCTTTCTCGCTCTTTCTTTCCCGTTCGCCGCCGCGTCCCCGCGCGCACCCCTCCCGCCTAATTGAGCACTTGCGTAAGTGCGATCGCGGCTTATATTTATCCAACCTATATCGCGGCTGACCGCCTCGATCGCGGATCCTCGAGGCTCCGAGAAAACGATCCTCTCTCTCTCTCTCTCTCTCTCTCTCGATTCGGCACCGGAGGATCGCGTGTTGTCTCGCGTCAAGGCTCGTTCCTTTTTTCCCCTGGCCGCCACCCCGCGGCTCTGCCCAACTGTATTCTTCCTGGGAGAGATGTTTTTTTCCCTCCCGTGGTTCCCGGCTCTCTCTCCTTCTCTCTTCACGGAGAGAAAGATCAAGAGAGAGAAAGAGAGAGCAGACGAGCACGAACCGGCCGCAGACTCGAGCCATCCGGCGAAACAGGAGAAAAGGCAACAGTATTCGCCGCTTGTACAACAACTCTAAATCTGGATCCACTCTTTTAGAAGTGTCTAGCGCGCGCGCGCGCGCTCGCCCTGCTCGTCCTTTTCTCGCGCGTTGTCTTCTGCGCGCCGTGTTCTCCTCGACCTTCGCGGAGAGGAGACATCCTCGGAAATCGGCGCGGATCGGCGCCGCTCTCTTTCTCTCTTTGTCTCTCCTCTCTCGCTTCGACCGCGTCGCGCCGCGTCTCTAGACAGAAGGAGGGCGGAGGGAGGGAGCTAGGAAGAGCGACGGTGTCCTCAAAGGGTTGCCACTGGAAATTGTTTTGTGACGAAATAACGTCGGTTGTTGTATCCGTAAATAGTCGGCGGCGGCCATTCCCGTTCCGAGAATAGCGCTCTAGCGCGCCAAAAATGAGGATTCCTCATCGTAGCGGCGGAGCGCGCGCGCGCGCGCACCACGGCAATCTTTCTCTCTCTCTCGATCTCTGTAGCGGCGCGCTTTGCGTTTTACGAGACGCAATCGGAATATCTCTGTTCCCGAGCCGCGGAAGCCTCGCGCGTTCTTTCCCTTTGTATATTTTTCGATGCCGCTCGTAAAGCGCCGCCATGTTTGCTTTGCGAAACGATCGGCCGTCCATTGAACGCCGCGGGAAAGAAAGAAGACGCGGGGATCGTATTTCCAGCGGAATAACTCGCGAAAAAGATTCGCTCTTCGGTCTTCGATTCGTTTATTCTTCGCCGATTCCCGTCGTCGTCGTCGTCCCCCACCCACACTCCTCTCTCCGTCGCCGGTGCTGCTTCCCCTCCCCAGCGCCGCCGATTTCGAAGCGGAGCCCGCGAGAGCATTCTTTCCGGCGGCGGAACCACGGGGGAGAGAATTTTTTCCGGGAAGGAAATCGGCGGTGTTCGACGGTCGTCGTCGTCGTCGTCGTCGTCGTCGCGCGTCGAAAAATCGCGGGTAAATTGCGGGCTCCGAGGGTGTAATGGACGGGAGGACCGAGACGACCGGCGAGATCGTAAAACGATCCGATCGCAGGCTCGATAGTAAGGTTAGTGCGCTCCTCTCGTTCACGTGAGACACGATATATGTATAGTTTTGCTCGGCTATACAATGTCTCGTGGGAAGGCTCGCTTGTCTGCTGCCGGCTGCGCGTCTCTCCTTCTCCCTCCACCTCCTCCTTCTCCTTCTTCGCCCTCCTCCTCCTCCTCGTCCTCTCTCCTCCTCCGCCCTTTCTCTCTTCGCCGACCTGTGCGTGTGTGTAGGTGCGTGCGCCGCGTCCCCGCAAGCCATTGTCCGCAGTGGTCAAGAACTGTTGGCCGTAGCGAGAGTGGCCCGCGACGAGAGGGTGGGCACGGAGAAATATTGACGCAACGGCTCTGTTTACACTGGATACTGTCGCCGGAGAAAAACGGCCGCCCCTCGGATCACCGTCGCCGGGACGACGCGACGCCTCGAAAAGCCTCCGCGATGCGAGAACCCGTCGATCACTCTTCGATCTCTCCCTTCGAGGTCCCTTCGATCCCCCTTTCGATCCGCCGCGTTTCGACCGGCCCGGACAACTATGTATGTACTCCGTCGCGAGAACCGATTCCCGCTTCGGTCACTGATTTCTGTTTCTCCCGTCTCTCGGACGTATTATCTCTAAAAGTATAATATTAATATTTATAAAAATAATAGAAAAATAATATAAAAGTCTCTCTCTGAAAGTATTATGTTGAAAAAGTATTATTTTGGTATAGAAGTATTATTAGCTCCGTGCCCACGTGCACGTGCCATCGATGGTACATGCTTGCATGTTTATTTAATGCGTTAAACAATATTAAACATTGAACGTTATTTAATAGGTTCGTAGCAAATACAGAACACTGAAGAATTAATTTATACCGAAAGAACGGGTCTTGAGAAGTTTGTTTTATTGTTATACGTATATGTATATGTATATGTATATACGATAATTATAATAGTTACATATAATATATCAAGTTTTAGTAAAATATCAAATTTTATTTTCGGGACACTTTTTCAAATTTCTTTCCTTTAAAAACTGCAACTTGTAACTAAAATACAGGCATTAATACAGTGAGAACGTATCACGTGCTCCATGAAAGTACAGTAATGTCTCTCCAATTGACGCTCAGATTGTGCCACGAAGATGGACAATTTGGGGAGAGGAGATACGATTATTCGAGCCTTGCGGTTTATTTTTATAGTTATAAATTGTCCACAATTATTAAAACGAGCCGCAAGCCTCGAACAATCGTATCTCCTCTTCCCAAATTATCCATTTTAGTCGACAATCTGAGCGTCAGTAAGGGAGACATATCTGTGGACAATCTGAGCGTCAATTAGAGAGACATAGTAATGTCTCAGTAGTGCCATAGTAGTGTCTCATAGTAATGTATACAGTAGTATACATTAAGAATTCCCGCTATTTCCTTTTGAATCGTCGTAAACTTCATCATGAATCTAATTTAACCTCAATTTAATTCCTTTTCTTGACTTTTTAAATTGCGGCGAGTATGTAAAGGGTTAAAGTACAAGTATTTCCGGAAAGTGTCGACAGTGTTTGGTCTAACGAATTCGAGCCGACCAAACGGTCCAACAGAACGGTCCATTACGATACATTATAATTAATAATTGTCCCATGTCACCGTTTAAAAAACGTCGAAGCGCACAAAATTGTTTCCTCCGTTGTTCCGTGCCTGCGCCACTGCGATTACAAAGTATCCTCCGGATTCGTCCTGAAACCGTAATACATATACATATAAATATACACGTAACACGATTTTCGCGAAGACTCCTCGGAGCGGAGCAATCGGTCGCTGCTTGCGCGGGGGTCGTCCCCGACCCGGCCGCCGGCGGGCCTCGAGGGAACGGCGCGTTCCGTACGATAATACGTTTACGGGCTGGCTTCGTTTTTCACGCCTCGGGAGACGCCCTTCGTGTTCCACATGATCGTTGGCGGCGCGCGTGGCGAGATGTCCATCTGCGCCTCTGCTCTGCCCCAACCCGTTTTTTCCACGCTCGCGTCGCATCGCGTCGCGTCTCGCCGAGCAAACACAGAGGGAACGAGAGAGAAAGAGAGAGAGAGAGAGAGAGAAAGGGAGACGGGGATTGCGGGGGAGGAGATAAAAGACAGCGAACGAGAAAGAAAAAGCGTTTTTTGCCGGGTCACTCGCGCAGATATCTTCTCCGCTCCTACTGGGAGACACGCGTGCGCAAAAACTCGGTTACACACGTGCTGTCGGGTTGCCGCGCGTCTCTCTCTCTCTCTCTCTCTCTCTCTCTTTCTCTCTCTGTCTCTCTGGCTCTCCCTTTGCTCTCTGGCTCTCCCTTTGCTCTCTGCCCTCTGCTTCGGGCACGAGGCGACCCCCGACGTCGGGCGATCCGGCCGAGTCTGTCGCGATCGGCCCGCTTTTCGGCGGGCCAGACGGCTTCGGGGAAACGTGTAAACAGAGCGTCGAAAGGGCCATGTGTCGCCGAAAGACAGAGAGAGAGAGAGAGAGAGAGAGAGAGAGAGAGAGAGAGAGAGAGGGATGACGAACCCCGTCTGGGCGCCTCGCCGATACCTTGGGGGGTCCGCGGTGTCAGTCAGGTGCGTCGCCGGACGTCTGTGTCTTTCGCACTCTGCGAACAGCATCCTAATGAATGGCTGCGTTGTCTAGCCGGGGAGATCGCAAGGATACCGGCGAGAACTCATTGTAGGTCGTAAACGTCGTGCGACCGCTACCGAATTCTCCGCCGGTTCTGTGGCAACTCGGCGCAGCCGACGAGATTAACCCCGGCGGGTACGTTACGGATCACGAGACTGATTCGTCTTTCGAGCTAGGATAGAATTAAATGAATTAAAGAAATTCAAATGAATTAAGTGAATTAGATAAATCCAAATGAATTCACGTATATCCAAATAAATTCAAGTAAATCCAAGTCCGAAGTCCAAATAAGCAAGTCCAAATAAATTCACATAAATCCAAATAAATTCAAATAAATCCGAATAAATTCAAATATATTCAAATAAATTCAAATAAATCCAAATAAATCCAAATAAATTCAAATAGATCGAAATAAATTCAAATAGATCCAAATAAGTCGAAATAAATTCAAATAAATCCAAATAATCTCAAATAAAGCCAAATAAACTCGTACCCAAAGGATTAACATTGTCGCCTCATCTCCTTTCGAGTCAATTTGTAGAGTAATCGTCGGCCAACAACCCCGAATCCCAGTCCCGATACCGGAGCCAAATACGTCGACGCTCTTCTCATCTCGTAAAAGACGAGAACCCATCTTGCCCATCGATCTCCGTTCTAAACACTGACGCGGGTCCGATGTTTTCCAGGTGAACGCCTCGGGGGTGTTCGAGCTGAGGCTGAAGTCGTTCGTGAACGAGTACGGGAAGGACAGTCTGGGCAAGTGCTGCTCGGGCAGCACGTCCAAGACCGGCGAATGCTCGGGCGTTTGCAAAACCAGGTTCAGGGTATGCCTGAAGCAGTATCAGGTGAAGATCGACACGACGACGCCGTGCACGTACGGCGACGTCGTCACACCCATCCTCGGCGAGAACATCGTTAACCTGAGCCCCAACGTCGCCATGCCGAGCTTCACCAACCCCATCAGATTCCCGTTCGAGTTCACGTGGCCGGTAAGTCTCTGTGTATATAAATATATATATTTATGTGTGTACGTTTGTATGGAATGCGTGTGCGTCCGCATCGTGTAATAAAACGCTTCGCAAACAGGCGACGGATCTGGCCGGATGTTCCGCGCGGGGTCCCACGCTTTTGCGAAACGGAAACGAACCGGTCGCGGCGGCGCTCCGATCCTCTCTCGGTCGAAGAGAATCGTTTAATTTCCGCGTAGGTTGCGTAACGATCGCCGGTCGCCGCCGCCGCCGCCGCGCGCGGCCGCCATTTTGGTACCGTTTCGACGGTCGAAGGCCGGCGCCGGTCTCCCCTTCGTTAACGATCCGCAGACCGGAGATCGTTCTTAGGCAAATGGAATCCGACATAAATTAAACATTGTCGTCGACGCGGATTTACGAGCGCGATCGCGATCCGCGATAATATAACTGCCGGAGTCGCGAGCGATTCTTGTTCGCCGTTTTTTCTTGTTTGTTCCTCGTCGCCTTTTTTAACGTTCTCTTTTTCTTCCTCTTTTTTCTTTCTTTTTTTTTGTAACCCGAGCATCGATTAGCATGCGATCGCGTGCTGCGGAAAACGGAACTCGCGCCGCGGTTACGGCGGTTACGACAACAAAACAACAACAACGCACGCGGCGAGACATCGAATCGCGCGCGCCATCCGTTCTCACGTCGATCGGATCGTTTTACCAGAGACATTTTCCTCGCCGGCTAAACGGAACAGGCCTATTACACCATCTTTAATAACCGGGAATTAACCGCTGTTTAGCTGTTCCGGCGATTCCCGCGATACCGCGAGTCTGCCAGCTCTACCTCGCCGGTAGCCGATTATAAAATTGTGTTCGCGTTAATAGCCGGATTGGGACGCCGTTTCATTGTAAATGTGTTCTTTCGCTTAACGCCGGATTTGCTCGGATCTTTTCGGTATTCGTCTTGAAACTTGGGCTCGAATTGGATGATTTATTCGATCGGGGCCTGTGAAAGGGTCTTGTACATAGGGTCATAGGGTCATATACACCTTATACATTGTATAATTTCAAACGATCTTATTTTCTTCACATTTATTATCGTATTTATTATTTTCTTCGTATCATACTTATTGCATAAGATTGAATTAAATGATTTAGTCGGTCGGGGCCTGTAAAAGGGCCTTAATTTTAAACAATCTTATTCTCCTCACATTTATTATTATCGTATTTATTATTTTCTTCGTATCATACTTATTGCATAAGATTGAATTAAATGATTTAGTCGGTCGGGGCCTGTAAAAGGGCCTTAATTTTAAACAATCTTATTCTCCTCACATTTATTATTATCGTATTTATTATTTTCTTCGTATCATATTTATTGCTTAAGATTGAATTAATTTACTTCAAACAATTTTTATCTTCTCGATATTTATTATTCTCTAAATCCCAACAAGTTCGTTATCCTTGAACATCGATAATTATTTATTGGTAATAATTACTTCTTTTAGCCGTTTTCTTTTTTAATTTATTCAATTGCTTCTTAACGCTTCGACGGCCGGAGTCACGTGTACGTGATTTCGCGAAGATTTGAGTTATAGAAATCGATGCGGTGCAGGTTTTCAAAAAATGTATCACGATTATTTTGTTAACAAAATTTATCGTTTTCATATATATATATATTATATATATTATATATTATTATATATTATATATTGTATATATATATTTAAGAATAAACAACGCGAGACCAGCGAGACAATAAAATGTTCGTGTCGATAAAATCGAAACTAAAATCTGCTGCCGGAACGAGAAACGAACAACTTCCTTATCCGCCTTCATTTGTTCGGGGATGGATGGGGGTAGGAGGGTATTCAGTCGTGGCCAAGCAGTCTTCCGAGCGTCGGGGAACACCGGGGCGAGAACAGAGGGTGCCAAGCCTCGTAAAATATCCCGGTTTCCGTCGCGATCGATAAGGGATAATTGAAAAGTAAATTGCCCCGATAAGAGAAGCGAGCCGACCCGTCTTTTTAACGGCTAATTATCGCTCGGCCGTGTTATCTCCGGCCGAAGAAAGGAAGTTACGCGCATACGTAATGTCCCGGGTACATGGGGGCGATCAGTTCGTTAAAACCGTTTCAACCAATTACCGTTCGACATTCAACCGAACGTCGCGCGCGATCCACCGAAGGAATTCTCGGAAAGCGCGGAAGGGCGACGCCGACGACGGTGTAACAAAAAGAAAAAGGGAAATCGCGCGAACGAAATCGAGCTCTCCGTCCGTGGTCTTCCTACTTTCTCGCGATGGCCAAAGAAAGGCTCTGCCGCGCATGAGGCAGGTCGATCGCATTAAAAACGAGCATTTCGTGGCTGGCACGCCGTGCCGTGCCGTGCACGCGTGCATGCATGCGCTTCGCGGGTGCGACGAGCACCGCCGGCCGAATGGCAGATGGTGCCAGGGCTCGATGAACGGCCGCGAGAGAGAGAGAGAGAGCGCTCTAGAGAGAGAGAACGCTCTAGATAGAGAGCGCTCTAGAGAGAGAACGCTCTAGATAGAGAGTGCTCTAGAGAGAGAGAGAGCACTCTAGAGAGAAAGAGCGCTCTAGAGTGAGAGCGCTCCAGAGAGAGAGAGAGAGAGAGAGAGAGAGAGCGAGCGCTCCAGAGAGAAAGCGCTCTATAGACAGAGCGCTCCAGAGAGAGAGAGAGGGAGAGTGCGCTCCAGAGTGAGAGCGCTCTAGAGAGAGAGCGCGCGCTCTAGAACGAAAGCGCTCCAGAGAGCGAGCTCTAGTGAGAGAGCGAGGGAGAGAGCGCGCTCCAGAGGGAGAGGGAGAGAGACATGGCACTCGCCTCTCCCTCTCGCGATCGCAAGCTCGTCGCCGGCCCGATCGTTCCACGGCAGCGGCGTCAATTATTTCCACGCGAACAAATTGTTAATCGCGAGGACATTAGTCCTCGTTTTCTGCCTTAATGGCGGCGAGAAATGCTCGTGTTTTTTTCAAGCGCGCGCCGCAGCTGTGTATTGTCGCTCGATTTCCAAATGAATTCGTTCGCCGGCCGGCGGCCGGATCAGCTGTTTTCTCCCGCGACACAAATCCAGGTTTCCACCTCGCGATCTCTCCGAAGAAGTCTCTGACTTCTTCCTCGAATTTCGCTCTCGCGCGCGCAAGCCATTCACCGTAGATTACAGGGCGAACGGGACAGATGCTCCTCCGGGTTAAATTAAAATTGGTCGATCCGATGGACGAAATCGACGAAAATTGCTCGACGCGAATTCGACCCCATTAGCAACGCGAGCGGCCGCGCGTCTACGCCAATGTTTGCTCACCATCCCTGGTGTACGTCAGTTCTCTCGTCGCCGTTCGCGCACTTCTGCCTATGAGACGCACTGCAGGGCCACTGGCAGATGGCTAGGCCTTTTGTGCTTTTACACTTCCCTCGTAATCTCTCTCTCTCTCTCTCTCTCTCTCTCTCTCTCGCTCGGTTTTCTCCGTCCTGCTCGTCTTCGGAACTCTCTCGCGGGCAGAGTTAAATTTACTAACCCATATGGCGCCCCTCGCGCCACCTCTGCGACCGGTTTCCCCGTCTCTGCTCGAAAACGCCGGCTCTTACTTCTGCTGGGTCGCCTCGTTACGTCCCCCTGGTCGATCGTTTTTCACCCTAGACTCGAACCGGAGGGCTCCTAGAGATCCGTCGATCCGCGTCGCGAAGAGAAATTGTCAGGAATTTTCCGATCGTTCAGTTTCTTTCGTTCGTTCGTTCGTTTGTTTGTTTGTTCGTCGATCCGCGTCGCGAACAGAAATCGCGAGGAATTTTCTGATCGTTCGTTCGTCGATCGAAGAAACGAGATAATTGTCGATTCTCTGGATCGGAGGTCGGAAGTCGTTTTCCGGTGCTAGAACGTGTAACCAGCGGCGGCCATTTCGGTTTCGGTGAACCGCGCCGCGGGTCGACTCCCACGTTCCTTTCGAAATGAGCTCTTTAACGCATCGGTGATCGAATATGAATTGAAGTTTTAATGTCACGCGAGAAAGAGAGAGAGAGAGGGATTTATTTGATGATTTTTGTACATACGTTAGAAAGACGGTTTCATAGTTTATAAACGTTTCAAGTAACAACGAAAGTCGAAGATAAAATCGAAGGATCAACGATCAAGGATATCTTAAAGAATCTGTTCGAAAACTCGCGACAATCTCCATTCCTGATCGATCGAAAATTATTTAGAATCAATAATTCCGGCTTATTAATAATTATTATATTCCGGCTTGTTAATAATTCCTTGCTGATTAAGCCAAATAACTCCGGCGCGCCCCCGATTTTCCTTGCTTCGGAAGCATTGCTGAAAAGCGTTTCGCGGTTTGCCGACGTGAAATGTCGAGTACTAGGTCGTCGATGTCCGGAGACAGGCTAAAAATCGTACATTTCGTATGTAACAACCCAATAGTATACGGAGTCGACCGGTTCCGAAGACGGGCGAAAGCCGTCGCGAGGGGTGTGGGGAGGAAGAAAAAGACGAGAGGAAGAAAGAAGTTGCGTTCTCGGAAGAGTGGCTGGTCGGAATCCTGCGCGCGGAGAGGGACGGGCAACCTTTGAATCCGGCACGGTAGTCCTCCCTCTGTGCGCGACGCCGCTCTCCTCTCCTCTCTTTTCTCATTTCTTTTTGCCTCTCTTCGAATCTTTCCGTTCTGCTCTCCTCTCTGTTCTCCTCTCTTCTACGCGCCCCTCTCTTCGCTTTCCTCTCCTCTGCGCTCTTTTCTCTGCGCTCTGCTCTCTACTCTCTGCGCTCTGCTCTCTACTCTCTGCGCTCTGCTCTCTACTCTCTGCGCTCTCCTCTCTTCGCTTTCCTCTCCTCTGCTCTCTGCGCTCTCCTCTGCTCTCTGCGCTCTCCTCTCTGCGCTCTCCTCTCTGCGCTCTCCTCTCTGCGCTCTCCTCTCTGCGCTCTCCTCTCTGCGCTCTGCTCTCTGCGCTCTCCTCTCTTCGCTATCCTCTCCTCACTACTCTCCTCTCTTTTCTTCTCACCGCTCTCCTCTCTTCTCTCTC